TTTTTTTTTTTGAGACGGAGTTTTCCTCTTGTTTCCCAGGCTGGAGTGCAGTGGCATGGTCTCCGCTCACTGTAGTCTCCACCTCCCGGGTCCAAGTGATTCACCTGTCTCAACCTCCCAAGTAGCTGGGATTACAAGCGCCGACCACCACGCCTGGCTAGTTTTTGTATTTTTAGTGGACATGGATTTTCTCTGTGTTGGCCAGGCTGTTCTCGAACTCCTGACCTCAGGTGATCCACCTGCCTTGGCCTCCCAAAGTGCTGGGATTACAGGCATGAGCCACCGTGCCCAGCCCAACTTTCCATTTTTAAAGTCAGTTTTCAGTTTAGTTCAGCAAATATAAAATAAATTGCCCTGCCTTGATTAAAGAGTTTTTACCCTAGAGGAAGACATGGGATACAGAACAATTCAGTCTAGTAGAATATAGAAATGACTGAGATAGATGTTTACAGGAGTAACACTGAGGGAGGGGCATCTAACTTAAGAGGGTCAAACTTCCAAGAGGAGACGAATAGTTAACCAAGTGAAAAGGGGAGTGTGGGCTTTATGTTTCTCATGATCACTTTTTCTCTCACTTGCTAAAGGCATGGAAAAGAACAGACTGGTAGAGGATCCAAGGGACACAAAAAAGGAAATAAGCAAGTAAGTACTTATTTTTATTTTTATTTTTTAGATTATTTACCTTCTGTTTGATGCCTTTTGCCTTTTCAGCTAAACTACAAAAGATCAGATCAGGCATGGAAACCTGAACTGCTCAGGGGAGCGTCACAACTCCTTCAAGCGTTTGATTGCATTCCCCTGCTCTCTAGTGGTATAGTGAGGGTTAGCCTGCCTCGAGCTGTTCTCACAGGGCTGCAGAGTCTTCCCCTTTTCCCAGTGAGACCACAAGATAGAAACCAGGTATTGTATCCTAAAGACCTGCACCTAGTATACTAGATGCTACGTGCAGCCAGAAAGGGGCCAGAGGGATGCTAACAGTGAGACTGCCCATAGCCTGCCTGAGCTTCTGAGAGGCCATCAGATACGCTTAGAAAACTGGACGTTTTTTGCCTTTGCTGAATATAGGTGGGAGCGTTACCATTCTGCTTATTCTTAATGACTCACAAGTGTCCTGAACTTTCTCTCTCTCTCTTTTGAGACTGGATCTCACTGTCACCCAGGCAGGCTGGGGTGCAGTGGCACAATCACGGCTCACTGCAGCCTCTACCTCCTTGGCTTATGCAATCTTCTCAGCTCAGTCTCTCAAGTAGCTGGGACTACAGTTGTGCACCACCGCACCCTGCTATGTTTTTCTATTTTTTATGTAGACAGGGTCTTACTTCGTTGCCCCAGGCTGGTCTCAAAGTCCTGGGCTCAAGTGATCCTCCAGCCTCTTAAAGTGCTGGGATTACAGGCCTGAGCCACTGTGCCCAGCCTTCAAACTTCCTTCTAATCCTTGAATTACATCACAGTTCCCACTGGTCCTCCTTGGGTATGCCCCACCCCGCCTCCACCCCGCCCAGATGCAAACTAGGAGTTCTTGTAGTGATCCAAAATAATGTAGTAGACTCAAACTGCTGGGCTTCTTATAGTATCACAGCTCCCATTTCTTGAGTACCTGCTTTCTACCAAGTCCCCTCTAGACATTCTACATGTAGTCTTTCATCCTGGACAATTTTGTCATCAGTTCTCTATCCTAAATGTATTCCGTATACAGCCAGCCCTCACTTCGTCCACGTTAATCCCCATCATCTAATGTTTCCTCAGAGAAGATAAATTTGCTTTAATGTGATTTTGAGCCAAAAATGGAACTAGATAGTAGGTCTCCCACGCAAAGCATTTTATAATGCACTCCAAAGCTACAGAACAGTGACTTTGGTGATTTTTCCAAAGCTTCTCAGCTTTTTCCTGAAGCTGCTCAGTAAGGTAAAAAGGATGCACCTAGAAGGTAATCACCGAATAGACTCTCATAAGATGGTACAGCCTTGGTGAATTCACCGGGATTCAGGGGCTGGTCGTCAGGCGTACAGTCGGAAAAGCCTGATACTTTTGGTATAAGAATAGATTCATCTCTCTGGTTGACTCACACTAACCAAGATCATAGAAATAGCTGCATGGGGCTAGGTGCGGTGGCTCACGCCTGTAATCCCAGCACTTTGAGAGGCTGAGGCAGGCAGATCACGAGGTCAGGAGTTCGAAACCAGCCTGGCTAATATGGTGAAACCCTGTCTCTACTAAAAATACAAAAATTAGCCAGGCATGGTGGCATGCACCTGTAGTCCCAGCTACTTGGGAGACTGCGGCAGAAGAATCACTCAAACCTGGGAG